TCCCTCCCTCCCTCCCTCCCTCCCTCCCTCCGTCCCTCCGTCCCTCCGCACCCTCTGTCTGGTTTGCACACGTGTGCATACGCTGTCATTCAGTCCAAAAGACGATGCAGCGGGAAAGGTAGACCCCCCCAACACCCCCTCCCCCCGCCCCCTCTGTCTGGTGTGCACACGTGTGCATATGCGGTCATTCAATCCAAAAGACAATGCAGCGGGAAATGTAGGCCGGGAAAGAAGGAAATAAGGTATGAAACGAATGTCGTAGGTCAGGCTGGACAGGTGGAAGGAGGGAGCGGCCATCAAAGAGACGAAGTAGGGAGGCGGTGCAAGGGAGGGCGGAGGGGTAGTAGTAAAGCCTGTTATGGAGGAGGAGCTGGGGGAGGGTGGTAGCAGAGAGGGGTGAGCAGAAGGTGCAGAGGGGACTGGGGGTATGCCGCTAACCTGAGTCTTCGATCTTGGAGCAATGTTCTCAATCCTCCAGTTCAGGCGTTCTCAATGCTCCAAAGCGTGCCAATCACCGGGCCCGGCACAGCTCACGGCCCACCACAGTCCAGAAATCGCCGGGCCCACCACAGCTACCAGGTCCACCACATCCAACGGCCAACCACAGTCTATAGAGAGAGAGAGAAAGGTAGGGAGAGAGACAGGGTGTGTGCGTGTGTGTGTGAGGGAGAGAGAGAGGGCATCGCAACGCCGCTCACAGAATGCAAAAAAGACAAAACCTGTGGTGGGTGTGTCTTTCTCTGTTTTGGGGGAAGATACATGCTCCAGGGCCCGGAAGGCCCAGAGAGTGTGTGTGTGCATGAGTGTGTGTCTGTGCATGTTTGTGAGAGAGAGAGAGAGAGAGTTGAGCGTGGCTCAGGGCGCCCCACAACATAGCACACGACACTTCACAATACAGCACAGGCCTCCTCCCGACATGGTGCAGGCCGCTTCCCGACACGGCGCAGGCGGTAGCGGGCCGCTACCCAACACAGCCGACAACGGCACACGACAGCAGCTGAAGTTGGCCTAGGCGCGAAATCCAAGAAAAAACAGCGCGGATTGAAATGGCCAATTGCCTGCGACCTGGTCCAGGGCCAACGGCCTGGATTCGGGTGCGGTCTTAAGATCTTAAGACCGCGTCGATCCAGGCCGTCAGTACAGTAGGACCCGACGGCCTTCATTTAGGCACGATTAAGACCTTATGACCTCGTCTATCCAGGTCGTTGGTCCAGTAGGACCCAACGGCCCAGATGGCAGATTTGTTACATGGTTCCATCAATCTGGGTCGTGGGCCGGTAGGACCAACGATGGCCCCGATTTCAGATTTGTCACATTAGCGATTTTAGTAGTGTAGGGATATATCCAAACAAATGGAAGAGGGCCATAACTGAACTTCTGTGTGTGTGTGAATCTTTCACTTCTCTGGTGTGAATCTTTGTTGCTTCAACAGGTTTTTAATTGATATACTCCAAAATACTCTAGCATTCAGTTTGCTGAAAGAAGAACAAAACGTCAAAGACAAGAGATGCAAAAGACAAGAAGCGGAAAACAAGAGGTAGAAGGCAAGTGAACCAAGAGGCAATGATCGTCATTGCTTCTGTGGTGATAGAGTATCATCCCTTTTGTCGAGATGAAGGCCATTGACACTCCACGGATGGAGGACAGCATTGTTTGTAGACATAGTGCAGACAAAAGAGCGAGGGGAAGGGAAGGAGGGGGATAGGAGGGGATCCCCTTACATCTTTTCCTGATGGGGTCCCTGGAGGCAGAGGCCACCTGAACTTAAAAGGCTCTTGTCTGCACCATCACATAACAAAACCCACATGATCAATCAAGCAAATTAACACCAGAAATCCACACCCTCTCCGTTAGAAAACCAGAGATCAAATGGCCAACAACCTTACCTCTACCACAAGCTCATCATCCTGTGAAATGTCGATTTAGAAAACGAAAACAAAAAGAGAGACAAAAGGTCCATGGTGCTATGCACTCACAACTGCACATACATAAGCGCGAGAATACAAGAACAACAGTGTCAATAGAAGTTCCCCTTTCTACAGGAAAAAAGGGGAATAAAGGAAAGCAAGGCATTTGTTTGCCTCGTGGCAGAAGAGTCACAGAATCTATACACGGATGAGAAACGCTCTCTCGTAGAAACAACCAGAGCACAACTAGCTCTACCCTTCTTTTTTGCCCTTTCTCTACTTCCAAGGTTTACACCTAACATTGATCTGATTCCATAAGGAATCAAACTTGCGATCTGTCCACGAACAGGTACGTGTACGCATCATTCAGCCACATGGGCCAAGTGTGCTTGCTTTTTATGTTCACCAATCAGGAGTGCAGAGATGCATATCTGATTGCCAGCTAACCCCAAACACAACGCAACCAAAGCATGAATGATTACAAGCTATATCCTTCCAGCCTGATACCGTCATCAGGAGGTTGCGTTGTGTTCAGGGGAAGACAGTAGTAACCAGCGGCAAGACCCCAAAGGGTCAAGGAAGTTCCAAACACCGGAAACACAACGTAGAAGAACAAGCAGATGCCTCCCATGGATGCGGTGAAGGCCATGAAAGAAATGAAAAAAGTAAAGAAACAGGTCGCCAACACCAGCCACAGTAGGGTGGCACTATATGAGTTCATCACACTTTGTGGACGGGACCATACAAGCTGGCCCAGGTGATACTTTGTGGGGTGGGAGTTACAATGCAGGCGGGTCACAGCATGGAACTAGTTCATCAATTTTCGCTTATGGTTTATCTTGGTTGTATCGCTTATCCATGCAGGCCGAATTGCATGATGTGGGTCGGACAGCACAGTCCAGGTTAGGGCGATGGTAGGTAGGGCGAATGGCACAAACAACCGGGAAAAAAAAAAAAAAAACTTATGCGGTGCTACATGGGGCACGTGTCTATTGTGTTGATCTGACTGTTGCAGTACTCGATATCGGGCCCATTTTTCAACAGTTCACGGGTGCACCAACTGTGGTAAGACCCAGGGCCAGGTCCCACTTACTCGAATTTCAAATCCCAGTACGAAGATTAGAGGTCAGAAAAGAAGAATCAGGGTAAGTGGGACTTGTCCACCGCAGGTGCCCTTTTCCCCTTTTTGGAATCCGTCAGCTATGGGCCTCGCTCCACTACTTGCGACATGCAGGACAGACCAAAAATATTGCGGTGTATATTTCCATGTTCTAGAGAGAGGCTCATGCTCAATTTGCACATCTGGTGAGTAGTGGAGCGAGCCCCTTTGTAATTGTACCCGAACATTCAGCAAGCACTCCAGAGCCTGGCAAGAAACGAAAAAAGAAACTAACAACGGCCTCCCTCCGCTGCACAACTTTCTAAATGTATCTGGAAATGGTAATGGCCTCAATACATTCGGGCCGTTGGATCAGCCCGTTGGATGTGTGTGAATCTTTCAATTGTTTTATACCTGGCTTCGGACTTGCGCCTCTTTTTACACAATCCGTTGACATGCCAACTACTCTAGGCCCATCTGGTATGTACTTTTACTCGAACATTGGGCAAGTGGCCCAGGCGAAAGCCGACAAAAAGCGCAGAAAGTTGGCCCACAAACAACAAAGACAAAGCACCATGTCAGAGCACCGCCCCCTCAAAACGAAACCCCGAGCACAAAATGGCAACGCCGTGCCACCAACGCAGCCCATGAAATGCCGAAATGGCCACCTAGGAGAACGTGCATTCTTTCTATGTTCTAGCAGAACGTTCATCCTTCCACAAGTACCTAGTCTACCAAGAAACAAAACCTGCTCTGCTGTAACCCGGGACAGCGCCCCCCCAGGACCTCTCGCGTGCCACCAATTTTTGCTGGGTGCGGCGGGGCGCGTCAACTGAGGACTGGGTTATCCTTTAGGAGGTATAGAGAAATGGCACTTGGAGTTGCTGTCATGTGTTTCTACAAGTCAACTACATAATAAATTGGTCGTGGGGAGATCACGGCAGTTGACCGGGAACTACAACACCACATCAATAACCTTGTACCAGACTCAGACTTGCGCAGACATCATTCTTCATCATAAAGGAAAAAAGTCGACAACTGACTGAAGAAGACATCCATCTATTTTTTCAGTACCAGTAAAAAGAAACTCCCTCTATCCCCAAAAAGATTTTTTTGGGGGGGGGTGCCAAACACTTTCCGAGATTTATCGACAAGTTTCAAATTTTGATACACACATTTTCAATTTTCTTTTTTCATCAAATGAAAAAAGCTGCACGAGCATTTTGACTCAGTCCAGCCAAAACCTGCCTTCACCAATCACTATCTCACACAAATTCTACGGTAATTCTGCAGCATAATTTCTCCCATTCACAACTAAGCTGTGGTTGTATGTCTCATGCGCCCGAAAGAAACTGTCAAATCCAAGAGCCAATTTTCAAAGAGCTTCATAAAAGTCTGCCACCATTCAGCTGCAGTCGCATCAGATCAAAAGCTGCCATGTCAACGCAAAGAAAATGGCATTTTGCATGTGTTCGACGCAAAGAAAATGGCATTTTGCATCCGTGCAATGACCAGTGCAAAAAAATGGCCTTTTGCCTATGTGCCATTACCATCTCACAACAAGTCTACGTTCGAGTGTCCATCTGAGAATGTCTGACACTTTGCTGGGAACTGTTTTTTGTGCTGTCTATGAGTAAGTACGTGTGTGATCTGGTGATTGGAACTCATGTGGCGTCTGCGTATTTGGGTAAAGGATTGAAGGTTCAGGGAGTCATGGAGAGGTATTTACCAGCAATCTTGGGAAAATACAGAGAGACTGACCGTTGTTGGACAGAAAAGGTAAAGTCTCAGGCAGACATACTCCAAAGTAGGACCGTACAGGGACACTAGATGACCTATTGCGGCTTCGCTCGCAAAAACAAACGCAACAGGTGATGCAGTAAAAAGGTGGAGGCAACCGATGGATGCAAACTCTCTCTCTCTCTCTCTCTCTCTCTCTCTCTCTCTCTCTCTCTCTCNGAGAGAGAGAGAGAGAGAGAGAGAGAGAGAGAGAGAGAGAGAGAGAGAGAGAGAGAGAGAGAGCAACTTACATGCTAATTACTGAAATACCCACAAGAGGAAAGGGGCCAATTTCGAGGAGAGCACTTCTACAAGTGCTCACTTGCATGAATGGAACCTTCAAGCAGAAGAAGAAACCACATAAACCGTCATCACGACTTGTAAGTCAATAAATTCTGAAGTTAATATTAAACAGTAATAAACACAGCTTTTTCAGAGTTTTCTTTTTCTTTTTGTCTTTCTTGTGAGTAAACATCTCTTGCGGGAGTCTGCTTTAGGAGGTTCTAAGAGCTGGCCCCCCGAGAGTGGCACCTCACCCCCCTTTGTGATGACACCGATCTATTGCTGGGCAGATCCACCTGCTGCCAACCAGGGGCCAAGTCCCACACGCTAATTCTTCATTTCTGGCCATTGATCTTATAAATCTACAGCCGTAAATTGATAATTCAGGTAAGTGGCATTTGGCACCCGGTCCACCGTCCCATAATCATATTAAACGTTTGCAACAACCGCGCTGACGTGAACAAGATCACAACCCCACCGAAGGGAACAGACCGATACGTCAAAGGGTCGCTGCCGGCCGCGGAATCTGGAGTCCAGCAAAGAATGGTTACCTCTTCCTTTTTGTTTTTCGTCTTTTTCTTTCTTTTCCTCTTCCAATGTTGAAATATATTTTATCAAGAAAGCCACGACGAACCATTGAACAAGTGTAAGCTTCGCTACCTGAACGTTATGAGTACTGACCCCACTTAGGGACTGATGGAGAGGCCACTGGGCCGTCAATTTGAGAGAACCAGTTGATCGTCAGTGTCGCTCCCGGAGTCATATTACCAGGATTACCACGGATGAGTTCATAGCAGTATATTAAGAAGGGTACGTCCGAAACAACCTCGATAAGGTTGCAAAATTTGCCAAGTTTTTGTTCAATGGCCGTAATTAGCTCAGAGGCAATCAATGCAAACACAAAAACAGATAAACAGTAGTAAAAAAAAAAGGCTCGAAGAGTGTGATTACTGTTGGAACATATTTATTGATCACTAAACCCAGTAGGAGAGAGGGAAAAAAGGCATTTCTTATTACCCCCAGAAGGAAGACATCCCAAAAATGAAGTTCAAGAGCCCCTCCCTCACAAGGACGCATCCGAAATGAAACCACTAATAAGGGGGCCAAGGTGCCACTTGCTCGGATTAAGGGAGATATTTCTTGGCCATAGATAACCAAGATCAGCGGCCAGTATCACTTCATCGTTGCAAGCGGGACCTTGGGCCACGTTGAAGCCAGGAACCAAATAGTATCCTCGTTGCGCACAACATTACAAACCCTAGTGAGTGATTACTCCCTATGTAGAGAAAGGGGGGTTGCGGCCGAACTAGTTGATACCTCAGGCCTATCCAAACGGCTTTCATCCTATGGCACGCAGGAGATGGTAGCACCTTGCCTGGCTGGGTATTGCAAGGAAAGGGACGGGAGGCAAGGGGAGCAGGGCGAGGAGGGCGGCGAGGGGGGCCTGGTCGGGAGTGCAGAGGGGTGCGGAGTGGGGGCCTCCCCTTCCCTGCTCTCTCTCGGGTGCACAGAAGTGTGTGTGTGTGTGTGTGTGTGTGTGTGTGTTGTCATATTCGCTATACACTCAAAAAAAGCATGACTGTACCAGACTGTTTCGTCGGACTTTGTGTGTGTGTGTGACACACACACATATTAAATAGAAAACGAAAAAAATGCAATTTCGCACCTTCAACACACACAAAAAAAAGAAAAAAAACGAAAACAAAAATGAAAGCACGATTTCGCGCTTCGTATCCTAACCACGTGTGCGATGTCGCGCCTTAAACCTCCAACCCCCTTTCGGCAACTTACGCCTAGCTTCCCTCCCCGACCCCTTCAACTTTCCCCCTAAGTTTTCCTCTTCTCCCCCCTTTCCCTCCTCTGTACTTTCCCCTCTTCTCGTACTTCCCCTTTGTCTTCCTCCTCCCCCTTCTCCTCCTCCAGCCCCATCACTTTCTGCCTCCCTACCCTCCCTCCCTCTTAGGCTTTCGCCATCCTGTTTCTCCTCCTCGTCCTCCCCTTCATGTCACTTCGTCTCCCTTCCACGATCAGAGTGAGCAAGAAAGAAAAACAAAACCACCATAGCCTGTTTCGGCCCCTTTTCCCCACGCCATTATCATCTCACCGTGTCCTTGCAAATAGTGCTCCTTACTCCTTATCTTTCATCTTCATCGGCATCTTCAACCTCGTTTTCACCAGTCAGCGGTGTCATGGTAGGGTGCTTGGTCTCTCTCTCTCTCTCTCTCTCTCTCTCTCTCTCTCTCTCTCTCTCTCTCTCTCTCTCTCTCTCTCTCTCTCTCTCTCTGCTGCTGTGAGGATATGGCTGCCTGAGCTGCACTACACAGGGAAGAGGGAGAGGCAGCCAGGGAGCTTCCTAGCTACGGTGGGAGCTGATACCCAAGGTATTCGTGGTTATGGCTTGGCAGCTCCTTCCGTCTTCATGCCTGGAATGCGTGCTATTCCCATGTGAGGGCAGTTAAGGCATGCCATCGGGCATCAAGAAGAAGACTTGAAGGCTTCACCTCACTCGGTTGGACTCCAGACCCCATATCCTCTTCATGTTTGGGCTGAGCAGCATTTTATTGACCATGTTGGTCAATGGGAGGTGATGGACAAGAGGAGAGAGGAGAGTCATGTGTGATAGAGGGAGAGCGAGGGAGAGAGAGGGAAAGTATTTGTCAAACGGATGCTGGAGAGACTCACAGTGATTGGTTCTTTGTTCCTTATGGTATGCACTTGAGAGCAATCAAAGGGAGGAGAATATATGGACGCAGGGATTGAAGTGGTGACTGAGGGAGGAGGGAAGAGATTCATCATCTCTGTTCCCCACCTCCTCGTTTGTCTGCATCTCGCTTCTTTTCTTTGTCCTTTCTTTTCCTTTTTACTTTTCTTCCGCAATGCCTTGAGTCAAACGTCTCAACTCGGGCGACAAATGTCAAAGCAAGGAACCGAACATATGGAATTTTAAAGTTGTGCCTGCACCGGCAAGGAACCAAATTGAAAGACACAGCTACAGAAAGTACACATATAAACGTCAGCGGCCAATAGCAGAAACAACAAGCATTTACTAAAACCGATATTTGTAAAGAGGACATTGTGCAATCTTTCTTCCACAATGAATGGGACATTGGTGCTTTTACAAAAAGGGAAAATGCTACAAACAACAAATACATTCTATTAATAGCCCGGCAGAACTACCATGTTCTAAACCAGCGAAGGAGATGCATGTCTTCTTCCTTAGTTGATTTATTCCTTACCCAGGAGGACACTGCTGTCCTTGTTCTGCATCTGGTCTCTCGTGCGGAAGCGAGTACACAAAGCCATGCTCAAGACCCTCACTTGTGTTTGCGTGCTCCGTTAGCCACTGCATTTCACTGTCCAAGTTATTGTGAGGGAGGCTGCCATCCTTGTCGTCCCTGGATCCACTGGCCTTCTTCCTGTTCACTCACTCAGGCAAAACAATAAAGAACATGAGCATTTCAACCCAACAAAAACATGTCAATTCATTCACACCATTGTTTCAGATCCGATTTCAGGCTATATTCTTCCCCCAGGCATAACACACCCTCACCATGAACTGATACAAGCACTGTTCTGGTCCAAATAGGATCATTATGACGGGTTGCTTACAGGGAGAAGGTAGGATGCCTAATATACATTGTCACATAACTATGAACTAAAGAGTGCACTTTGCAAAACAAACGGTAAAGATTTAAAAACAAGATAAACACGAGGGGCACAATGGAGCGGGAGCTGTCCACATCCCCTTCTGCCATGACGGCCCACTTGTACGCTGTGATGGCACACAGGGATGCAGGCAGAGCTANGAGGGGCACAATGGAGCGGGAGCTGTCCACATCCCCTTCTGCCATGACGGCCCACTTGTACGCTGTGATGGCACACAGGGATGCAGGCAGAGCTAAAAGAGCGCACTTTGCAAAACAAACGGTAAAGATTTAGAAAGTAATAAAAACAAGATAAACATGAGGGGCACAATGGAGCGGGAGCTGTCCACATCCCCTTCTGCCATGACGGCCCACTTGTACGCTGTGATGGCACACAGGGATGCTGGCAGCTCGCGCTCCAGTGTGGCCCTCATGTTTGTCTTGTTTTTTTATCTTTACCGTTTGTTTCACAAAGTGCGCTCTTTTAGTTTATATTGCAATGAACTGACCGCCAATCAACACACAACTTCACACACATGCAACAGAACATTCATCTGAGAACTCACACCGAAAGCCAGCACTTGAAATCCAACCCAACTCATGAAAGAACTGTGCGAGGATTTAGTCCCTCGGCAGTGTCTGGAAGTGCCGTGCTCGCCCTAAGTGAAGGCGGGCCTGCAAATATGTGCCAATGCCTGTTTATAGGGCTATGAGACCAGGCTGAGGGTCCCAAGCAGAGCCTGTTGTTACCCCCATGTGGGCATGGATCTTCGACGAGGCCTTGTTACGAGTTGGCTCCCCGGCATGCCCTTGTAGGGCCCTATCAGCAAGCATGAGCCCGCCCTAAGTGAAGGCGGGCCCCTGAATTTCAATATAGCCTGAGTTCGTCAATTTTGGCAAAGTTTGGTGGGCGCCAGACGGTTGCCATGCGCCAATTGGTTACATCCTCCATACTCATGAGAATCAGAAACAATTCATGAGCCTTCTGGGCTCTTCCAGCAGCACAGTCGAAGCAGGGAGAACCTCACATTTACTCCTGGATGGTTGGGCATGCCTAGCCAATTCGGTCCCAGGCCACTGTCTGAATGGGCCTGGGGGCTGACACTTTGGCCCGATCAGAAGCTACTGGAAACACACGAGGCCCAGCCAGGGAGCAGACTGGGCGAGCAGTTTTCATAAAGGAAAGAGCTCGCCACTGG